ATATTGTTAGTTGCTGGCAAGAAAATGGCCGCCGACTCAGCCTACGTTAGAGTCGTTTTCCGAGACCCCTCCCCAGGCCTCACTACGAGTCGGCAGTACTATGCACCGAGGAGAAGTCCAGACGTCCGCTGTTTGCCAAAACCGCGCACAGAGGAGATTGTCTTTCTGCTGGAGAAGAGCGAGGCCTGCGGCCTGGAGCCGGGTATCTACTGCACCAGTGGATTGCCCTGTCATCTGAAGGGAACCTTTTTGGAGGAGAATTTCGCCAAAACAAGGGGCTCTCTTGCACCATGGCGCACGGTACGAGGTGTCTTCTCCAAGGTGTTTGAGGTTGCAGATACCACAACTACAACCACGGAACGTCTGCTTATGTACCTTATCGATGACTACCTGAGTCCAATCCCCGATGAAGCATACCCACTGCTGAATCCTACTTCGAGGTACGTCGCTTTAGATGAGGACTGAGTGAACGAAGGAAGGTGTATATTGCATGAATCCAGCTGTTTAAACATTAATGTGCCACAAAATGAAGGCGATGGCAGAAGGGATTGGAGTTTAGTCCCGTTCGTTGGTTTTCGCCTAGCGAGGGGCAGGGAAAGTGAGTTTTCAACTCTAGCGGTTACGAATCATTCACAGACTGTCAGCATCTTCTCATGGCTAAAGGTCCCCCGCCGCAAGTCCCACTCGGGGTTATGGACGTGATAGGAGGGGGAATTCCACGGATGAGTACTCAGTGACCTCATTTCCGACGCCGTGCTCACTACAGGCACAACCATCATCATCATCATCATCATCATCATCATCATCATCATCATCATCATCATCATCATCATCATCATCATCATCATCATCATCATCATCATCATCATCATCATCATCATCATCATCATCATCATCATCATCATCATCATCATCAGCAGCAGCAGCAGCAGCAGCAGCAGCAGCAGCAGCATAGTCATGACGATCAGTTTTCTTTTGCCACCTAGCAAACTGCCGTTTATGCTTTCTGGTAAGCATCAGGTGATGCTGAGAGCGTCTCTCGCTGTTTCAACTAATTCGTGGATCATATGACTATAGAAATAATGGCGTTGACGCGTAACAGTCCTAAAAGCACCTTTTTAGTTCTTTTTTACCCTCGATTTTTTAATCGGTAAACGCGCTTCCTGCCAGTACCTGCGGACTGTTTGTCACTGCTTAAAACACAGCGAGGTCAGGTGTGGTTATGTAGCTCCACCCGAAGAAAACAAACCCCAGTCACCTGTAATACGAGACCGGGGGTAATAGGGGCTTTTTTACGGCTGGGGCCGGGAACGCACAGGCGACGAGGTCAAGTAGTTGTAGGCAAAAGAAAAGCCGTTGGGAATGTGCGGTTGTACATTGAGTGGTGGAGATATAGTTGCCCTAACCCCCAACAATTTCCCCTAACTTCTACCCCTAGTTGCAAACTCTAATCCTAACCCCTGACCCTTAACTCCAACCCCAACAGTATGGGGTCCATTAGAAGCGAAGAGACGAGTCCCAGGAAGTAGTCTTGAAGAAGGAGACACGATCGCCGGAACAGGAGCTTTATTAACCTGACGTTTCGAATTCCTACTCGAATCCATCATCAGAGACAAATAAGCAGAAACGGGTGGTTGTTGCACAAGGGGCTGCGGTATTTATAGGATGCAGGAACCATGCTACCGCATACCGCATACATCCCTATGAAAGAGGGGAGACGTGAATGTTCATAGGTATGCGGTAGCATGGCTACTGCATCCTCTAAATACAACAGCCCCTTGTGCAACAACCACCCGTTTCTGCTTTTTTGTCTCTGATGATGGACTCAAGTAGCAATCCGAAACGTCAGGCCTCCTGCAGTAAAAAACCCCTGAAGGATTGTCTTAACTAAGCTGACATGAACGATAACAATGCCACTGGTAGACCTCTATCGCTGTTGTGGATATCCGTAACGTCCAGACATGACAGATACATGGATTAAGACCGGTCTGGCTGCGACAAAAACGACTCAGGGTATCTCCAGTCTACCCTTTTCGTCACTTTAGCCTCTTTAATACGACACCGGAAGACCAGTTGAACTCCAGACGACGGTCATAGTCGACTTTTAACACCTCGGAGTCAAAGTGAAGGCTACCGCCTGAACTTCAGTGATTATTGTCGACTGACAATGGATCGCATAGATGCCTGGGAAGGAGGAAGCTAGTGTCCTATTTTGACGCTGACGCACTCAGATCCCCTGATTTAATGCATGCCGCAAGTGCCGAGGTCGTCGCGCACAATATTCTTTGGTTTCATCCAGAAACTTGCATAATGTCCGGATTAGTACAGTAGATGTGCTAACTCATGAAATGTCAACCAACATTTCGAAATGCGTTCTCGTTTCGAAAAGATTAATTAAGTAGGGATGTAAAACTAGCCAGCCTGCAACATAATTCTATAATATTTCAGTTACCTCAGGATGTCGGCTTTCGCATGAACTTCTTTCCGACAGCAGGCGAAACTGACAGTTCGACCATCGATTTCGATGATGTCCACCGTGTGCCGCAAGGACGGTGACTTACGCAGGGTTTTATTGTGCCGGTAGACTTGCGTAGCATCTACCTACACTCTCTCCTCCCTCGCCCGAGCCCGGTGTCAAGACAGAGTTAAGAAGACCGGAGACGAGGGAGGCCGCAGGTGGATGGCTCAGACGGATCCTCACCTTGGCGCTCCACCACACCCCCTGGTCCACACAACAAATGACCAGCATTTCAACAAAAACATAGAGGTTTGGAGGCTGGCACGGCCGAAGCCTGGGCGTGCCGCCAACGCCTGACTCGTATCCCACGCTGTGGTGGGAATGCCATAGAAGCTATATTAAAAAGGAGCCATTGCAGCCTGACTCTGAGACCGCCTCCAGTCAAGGAGGAGGTCCAAGTTACCCCGTCAGTTGGCAACCTTCCAAGCCACGGCTTTTAGCGCACCGTGATAGCTTCAAGCGCGTCAGATTGTTTATAGTGAGGAAAATGCGCTGAGTCGTCGACCTCACTCTCCCTTCCCACTCCCACACCCCAGCCGCTGTCCGAGCCGGTCAGCAGACTGGAGTGGAGAGTGGGCGCGGTGGCTGTCATGGTCGACTGACCATGACTGCGCGCACCACGGCACGACCTGGCCCCCCATACACACAACACCAGGATTTCACACAAAGGGGGTTGAACGGCGTGTCTCTCACTTGCGTGAGAGTGCCGCGGAAGGTGCTGTTTCAGCCCGTCCCCAGCCCTCCAGTCCGCCACTCAACACAGCACATACACACAACGCGACGAACTGCGTGAACCGAGAGCGGGCGTCAATCAGCAACCTTCCTATCCAAGTAGCCTACAAAGCAACACTTACACTGATGAGACTTTGGGGCCTGGTCTGTGTGCGCTTCGAGGACAGCACGGGCCTGGCATGCGTAGATGGGTGCTTCATGGCCAGTCAGCCGCTGCAACTAAGCCAACGTGCAGTCCTCTTGACCTTATCTTGCATCGTCACAGGAACTACACTCTGTAAAAATGACTGCTAAATGTCCAATTATATTTCATGGAAACCATGCATAAAAGTATTCATTCTTTTGCTCATTCGGTGGAAAATTACGTATTCTTCTAATGTTATACTTGAAGGAGAAACATAATACGATTTTAAAAAGTTTATTATTGTGGGACTTTTAAATACCCTGAAATGGCCGTTCATAAATCGTCATGTCTCTGCATTTACCAATGTGGATTGTAAAGTTAACACTATGAATCAAATCCACTGCTAAATTTTATGAACCCTATGTGGCCCCTTTATATTACGGTAGAGAAGTGTGTGGTTTTCTGTAGGTGGAAAATATACGGCTTGCAGATTTGAAACCCTGAATCCAAGTGCAACGGTAGAGCGGGTTCAAAATTATTAGGGAATTGGAAAAGTTTTTGAAAACCGAATTATACCATGTCTTCGAGCATAAGAGGGGAAGAAGACATACTTTTCTACCGAATGTGCAAAAGGACGAATATTTTTGTGCATGTTTTCCATGAAATGTAATTGGACGTTTAGAGAAATCGAATATTAATGAGAAAAATTTATGCTATATAGGCAGTCATTTGTTGCAGAGTGTAGTTTGTACATGCAGCCGTAAGAAAGTTCTCTCGAAAGTCGGCATCCAGTGGTAACTGAATTATTATGTTGCAGGCATACTGGTTTTATAATCCTACTTGTTCGAAACGAAAGTCCATTTCGGAATTTCGGTTGACATTTCATGAGTTAGCCAACCTACTGTAACCAGACTACATGAGTTTTACTCGATCTTTAGTTCAGAGTAGACAATCGATCGAAAGTACCATAAATTCATCCATCTTCTCAACCAGGTTTTATTTCTTTTAGAACGCACACAGAAACTAACTGCGTGTGCTTTTGCTTTTTATGGCGTCTCGTCTTCCAGAGAGTTGTCTCGTCTCGCAGATGTCAGCGGCACTTCATTCGTTTACTACGTGTTCTAAATTTGGCGCCCGTATACGGCAGCCAAAAGCGAATGCTGGTCCCCCTGATGTACCTGATTGGCTGGCAAACTCACTACCAAGCGAAACACCAGGCGGCATGTTGGATGAGATGACCGCTAAACTCTGAGCTCTTCGATAGCCCTCCCGTCATGGAATGTGCCTGTATACAGTAAGTGGGCTAACTCATGAAATCTCATCAGAAATTCGGAAATGCGCTTTCGTTTCGGAAAGATTAATTAAGTAGGGGCGTAAAACTAATCAATCTGCAGTATAATTCTATAATAACTCAGCTACCCCCGGACGCCGGTTTTCGAACAAACTTCTTTTCAGCTGCATCTAAAGGCCATACTCCGTAAAAATGACTACTTGATTAGCATGCTATTTCAATGATTTTCGATGCCCTTAAATATTCAATTATATTTCATGAAATAATGCATAAAAATACTCATTCTTTTTCTCATTCAATAGAAAATTACTATTTCTTTCAACGTTACACTCGAAGAAAGGGCACTATTTGGTTTCCTTAAACTTTTCCAATTCTCGAATAATTTTGAACCCGACCTGCCGTTAAACTTACATTCAGGGTTCCCAAACTACAAGCCGTATATTTTCTGCGTGAGAAAAACTAAACATTTTTCTGCGGTGTTAAGAGGGTATCATATGGGGTTCATAAAATTAAGCAGTGGATTTGAGCAATATTGTTAACGTTGCAAGCCACAATGGTAAAAGCAGACACATGACGTTTTATGAAGGGCCATTTCACGGTAATAAAAAATCTCACAATAAGAAACCTTTTTAAAGTCGAATTATACCCGTCCTCCGAGTGTAAAATTAAAAGAAGACGTAATTTTGTACATAATGAGGAAAAGAATGAATATTGTTTTGCATGTTTTTCATGAAATATAGTTGAACATTTAAATGCATCGAAAATAACCGAAAAAAGCATGCCAAATGAGTATTCATTTTTAACGAGTATGATTTTTCGATGTAGCCGGAAGGAAGTTTGTTCGAAAGCCAACATCCGAAAGAAACTCAACTGTTATCGAAGTATGCTGTATGATGATTGATTGTACAACCCTGATTTATTAATCTTTTCTAAACGCAAACGCATTTCGGAATTTCCCTTGAGATTTCATGAGTTATCCCACCTACTATATGCTTAGACCTCCCAGACTCCATGATGTATAAGTGCAGAATATGCATGAGAACTTGCAGCAGTCTCATGAAGATGAGGTCTGCGGTTCGCTCGGCTCAATGGGTCAACCCTATAGTAGATGTGCTAACTCATGAAATGCTAACCGAAATTTCGAAATGCGTTCTCGTTTCGAAAAGGTAAATTAAGTAGTGTTGTAAAACTTTTCATTATGCTACATAAATCTAAAATGATCCAGTTACCTAAGGCTGTCGGCTTTCGAACGAACTTATGTTTTGCTGCATGCAACATCTATACTCTGCAAAAAAATGACTACCTAAGTAGTATGCAATTTTCTCATTGATTTTCGATGCCCTTGAAAATTC